AGATAAATGCATAACACATAACCAGTTAAAAGCCAAGGAACTGTGTAATTAAGAACTTCGAAGGCACAGCATTAATATAAATTGACGATAGTAGGCAACAAGTAGTCTACCTCGCAGCCACTACCTGTGTTGTCACGCAACGAGGAGGAAGTGTGTTGCGTGACGGCATAAGGCGAGGGAGTCTGAGTGAAAGCGTCGTGGGAATTTTTCCTCAAAATTAGGCAAAAGAATACCGACAATCGAAGAAATGAATGCGGCTTTTATGTCTGCTATCAACTTGCTGTTGTAAATTTCACCTTCAGTGTTTTGTTAAATGTGATTATGTTAAACTTTACTGAAGGGCAAACAAATATCGATACTCGAAACGTGCAGACATGTTTTCTTACCCCTGGTAGCTTCAGAATTCTCTATTTTAAGACCATTTCCTGTTACAAGGGCTAACGTTGAATCTCCAAACTCTTGTTGGCATGCAGACTGTATGAAGCTAACATTTGCTGAAGACTCGTCCACTAGAACATATGTTTGGCGTGTTGGGTTGACGACTTTTCCTCCCATTTTTTCAGCCAATGTGACTTTTACAGTATGGCTTGTCTTTTTCTTCCCCGCGGCTGACTGTGGAATGACTGATCTTTAATTGAATAATTAAAGTTTTAGTTAACTTATTCGAGTAGTAGCGTAGCCTTCTCAGTGGATTATTTAAAACCCTACCTAAACAATGGAGAGAAGGAGGCAMTAGTACTTGGTGTTGGTTGAGTCTGTGATGGGTTTATGGAAGTCATTGATGATGATGCTCTCCCTTCGACACGTATCAAGGACGTTGGTCTGAACACTCCCATATGGAACTTTCCTTGCGAGTTAGGCCTTTCAGTAGTCTCTCCGAATTCTTCAACAAGATATGATGATGTGGGCTCTATCTGAAACATCATGACGTTATCAAATAGTAAGCTGGTTCAGTTTATATGACGTCATTTAGTCACAATATCAGCAAATTAATCAGGATAACAAGACTATGGATACATGTGCATGCAAATAATATTCTCATCTTAGAGTGAAATGCTATTTCTATCATTGATTAATTGAGAGGTTTTGTTCCCTGAAGTGTTTGTTTATGTTCTTGTGCTGGGTAATTTACGAGTCGTTACAGAATCGCAATCAATACTGTTCCGTTTAGGGATTCCCATGACAAACAACTTTTAAACCATACCTCAAACATCGAAGAAAGTCGCTGCAAGCTTATCTGGTTTCTTCGTAATTTCCTTTCAACATTGTTTCTAGTGAAAATGTAGAACTCTGCTTCGCTCTCCAACATCGTGTTGCTGTYCATTGCGCAAAATGTCTTTGGCGCCAAACCGCCAACATGTGATATTAATACCTATATATTGTTACGCGGCCGTCTGCAAAAATAGTCGGCTGCGAATTGGTCGATTCTCTTCTGTCAATCAAACCGCTACAGGATTGATTGAAGTCTAAATTTTGAATGGAACAGACATTTATACACTTGAAGTATATTCAGACGAGACAGAAACCATTTCAATGCTAGCGGCTTTAGAATACCTATTCAAAGCTACATCAGTGCACCCGCTGTCGCTAGTCCCCATGGTCGTTAAAAACGACATAGTATCATAGGCATGGTTTTTAGTGTACACGCGGTCGCTAGTACCCGTGGTCGTTAAAGAACGACATAGTATCATAGGCATGATTTTTAGTGTACACGCGGTCGCTAGTCACCGTGGTCGTTAAAGAACGACATAGTATCATAGGCATGATTTTTAGTGTACACACGGTCGCTAGTCACCGTGGTCGTTAAAGAACGACATAGTATCATAGGTATTGTTTTTAGTGTACACGCGGTCGCTAGTCTTCGATTGTCGACCGTTRGTACAGTACGTGAGAGGTTGTTTTGAGTGGACAGGCATTCTATACTCTAGCCTAATTTTTATTGTTTATTTTTTAGAAATTTATAGGGGCAGGTTTACATTTAAAGTGCTACTGAGGTACATAAAAAGATCCAACAAAATTCATTTTTGCAACGAAAGCTATTATTTTTAATCTGCTGATGCAATATTATTATTTACTAATATAATCAACAATGTATCTTTATCTTATGCCACCAATGATCGTGTTATAGAGATGAATGCTAACACCGCACTGCAGAATAGGTTATCCTGTTCATTAACAAGATGGTTATAAGCCACTTCAATATTGGTGCTGTTATTAAAGCGTTGCTCTATTTCATTTTTCCTATTGAAGTCTTCTCCCAGTGGATCTTGTCCAAAAGTAGGGTATCTTGTGATGCCACCACCATGACTTTCATAAGAATGCACAATTTCTTGCGAAGATAACACCACAGATGGTAAGATCCTTGCAACTCTATTGTTGTTGTTTCGGAGTGTTACTGGTTTCCCCGTTCCTAAGAATAAATTTCAGCGTGTCAGTCATGCCAAAAAAAAAAAAATTCGAGTGAAAAGCCGAGATATCTAAACAAAAAAATGGAAAATAGCRCACGCATACCTGGAATACAATGATAATTCCATGATTGAACAACTTTCTCCATTCACAACCTTGCAAACTTCATTGAAACCTCTGACACGCAAAACTTAATATCCTCTAGCTCCATATCAATCAAGTTCATTTCTTCCATTCTGCGCAATGCATTCTTTATTGGGTAATTTACGCCTGCATTGACTTCAACCCAGAATCTTTCAATTCTCAAGTTCTATTGTATAATAAAAAACAGCAGTGAAATCAGACTATAATTTCTCAAATGTGACATCCTATTAACGAAAACAGAGAAAAAGAAATATGAATAATAATATAAGTATAATACGTGCCTTCTTTGATTGTGTTTGACGGTGCGGGTCTCTAGCTGTATTGCTCCTGAGGTGAACCAGGCACTCCTGGGCATAGAGGGTGAGATAAAACTCTTTTCCCTGATCAACACGAATTTGGTCAAACAATCCTTCTTCAAGTGCTACCTTTCTGTTCAAGAATAATAACAAATGAACAATAAAACAACGGTAATACAATCACTGAAAATAATAATATCCTGGCAGTCCTTATCGCYCTCCGGCACCCTCAATTCTAACGGGGGTGAATTAGTACTACAGCTGACTGTAACATTCTATTACCGATTTCCTTAACTTATGTTTAATTTGCATTATACCTGAAAATGTTTTCATATATCAGTACATTATTTTTCACAGACATGCATGTGAATGCCGGGATGTATCTTGAGTATCCATCGATGCAACAAACGTGCGTTACTCCATACATGGCTAGCTTTTCATTCTGGTCAATGTGTAGCTTGTGGCCATAATATTCGGCTATATATGGTTGGGGATTCGTCTGCCTTTCAGTACATGTTTTTCGACGCATTTGGTAGACATGAGCAACTCTAGCAAGTGACCGACCAATGCGTCCTTCTGAAGCTATTGGAGCCCCTAGTTTGCTATTTAGATATCCCTTCATCATCTTTCGCCCGTATACTGGACCTACCTGAAAAAATARTTTTGCCACTATTGTAATCAGTTTGACCATGCTTTAGAATTCCCACTCGTTTTTTTTTCTTTTTACTGGGATTGCAAAAAAATAGCGTGATATTATTAATTTCTTCGTCTATGGGCGTTATAATACCAGGTTCGTCACACAACCATCATTTCGCACAACGTAATCTTAGGAGAAGAGCGCGGCGTTGTGTTAGGAGCATTGTGACAACTGCCAAATAAACTGATAAACTACTGAAATTGTACAAGTTGTATAACAAACCTCGTTTACAGCTTGTCTCACTGATTCATCCAAGCATTCATCTGTTACAACACTTCGTCTTGTGATCCCATGTTTGGCGCAAAATCTTTTCATGCTCCGTACGCCAAATCCCCTTTCTTCTGGATAAATACTTTGCAATACATTCGACAAGTCATCAAAGGTTTTGTCTTTGTCCTTAAAGAAGTCCTTGATGAAATTAGAAAGGAATTCTTCTGACATTGTGAGTACGAGGCTTGAYATGGGAATCGGAGTACTGATGTCGATACAAAATCCCGCCAAAACAGTGCCGACGACTAAACTCAGTCTCAATCTCCTCCAATTATATCACAGGCAACCCATGAAGAGTAAACCTATATATATATATATTCAGTATTTTTCAGGGGGTAGCATGTATCCATTCGGGTAGCAAGACCAACTACAGGGTTGGGTGAGTTGGGCGGAACTATTGGTCATTGAAAATTTCCCTGAACCCCATTTTTGTTGTATACGAAAAACGAAAATTGAWACCAGAATTCAATTTTCGATTTTGGTTTTTCGGTGCCATTGAAAATGAACTCACTGAACTTCAAAATTCCATTTCTGAAAATGCAAATATTACATTTTGCAAATAATTTCCTTTTTTTTAAATTCTCTTAAAAAGGAAATGGAAAAGAATCGATTCTTTTTCAATTTCAGTGCACAAAAAAAACATAAATGAATTCAAGAAAGAATTTTTAAAATTCAAATGTCGTTTTAACTGAAAATAAGTAAAAGAAATGAAACTATTACACTATTTACAATAAGGATCACATTAAGATTGTAGCTGATTTCTATTTTTCATTTTTACGAAAAAGGAATGTCCCTCACGTACACGGATTAAAAATGCGACAATTCTTACGATATCAAGGTCAGTGTAACGGTCCGTGTATTGTCCGTCCATTCAATTTGCGTGTAAAAAAGCTATTTAAAATCTGATTTATAAATTCTTAATTTTCGATTTTCGTTCTACTCAAAAATCGAAAATTCACTGTTTCCCAATATTTGTACACTCCAAAATTGAAAAATACTCTTTCATTTTTTAAATTTTTGTTTTTCATAAATCACAAAAATTGAAGTTAGACTTGCAATTTTTCTTTTCCATTAACACCCGAAAACTAAACGTTGTAAAAAGGAAAATTTACAAAAACTTTCCTTGTAGGGGAGGGGAGGAAAGCAAGACATTTGTTATGCGCCTGCGTGTCACAGTCCCTAAAAAACCGCCATTTTGTGTCGGAAATGCTGCAGTATTTTACGCTTTGCGATGGTTTTATACACCTTTTCCAAGAGGTAGATGTATTATTTTTGACTTGATTAGCGTGGTGTCTACAATATTGACAGAAGATGTACAAAGAGAGCTCTCTAGGCAAGGGATTTGTTTGTGATTCTCTTTAAAAGACCTTCGATCAAGTCAAAATGTTACAGTCTCGTGTACAAGTTCAATATATCTCACACAACTGTGCATGAACTATTTTTTGGATTCATGGATGAAAAAATTGAAGAAGAAAAGAACAAAATAATATTCTCTGGTTGGAAACTATGCAAGTCTAGTTGTCAGGTAAGCTTAGTTGGTTAGGTAACTTCTGCCTTGTTGATGTAGAATTTTCAGTCCCATTTTCAGATAACCTAGTCTATTTCCATGCTTTTTGATTCATACTATATGATATGAGTGTTGATAWTTTTATTATAAAACAAAAATTAGACTTTTACCTTAAGARTCAACGCTTGTCTTTATTTCATGGTTCTAGTGCATTGACTTTAAAAGATGCCAACTAACATAACATGGAGTTGGTTTATGTGGTATTTTTGCATGCTAAATGTGTGAAAAACTTCAAACTGTTTCCTTCTTGAAATAGTTCTCACTACCCTGGGTTGAGAAACCCTTCCTCGTAGTTATGATATTTTAAKGCAGGCTATAAGATACAATTGGTGAGCGAACATCTGTTAATTTATTTTTTCTGACTAAAAATGAACATTCCTTTTAGCTTTGTAAATAAGAGAGATGAGAAAGGGTGTACTAGTATGTCCCAAACTCTGTTACACTGGTCAGTGCTAAACAAACACTGAGAAATTTCACAAATTAAGAGAATAAAATGGTATTTTTGCACTTTCATTGTTTGTAGTACTCTAGTGATTGGATATGATAAGTTATAATCTCAATATACATTGTCTTATGTTTCCAGGCTGACATATTTGTCATGTATCAATCAGTTTTGATACACACTACCTAGTTCACATTGTTTACAAGGAATAACCATGGATGATCCATGATGCTGGAATCAAAGTAAGTTGAAAACTGAAAACAGGCATAATTAAATACTATTAAAAAAATGCATTTATTCAAAAAGTGGTGTTTTGCCTTGTCATCCATAAAAAAATTGAAAAAAAGTGGTATTTCCTGTTTGTTCTATGCCTACCGAGACTAAATTTGGTGCTTCTGTTGTCATTGGTCGTAATCAGCACCTGTGATATCAAAAAAATGAAATCTTGCCACAGTAACCAATTGGTATTTCCTGTATGTTTGAGGATTACCGATACTAAATTTGGTGCTTTTGTTGACCTTTTGTTGACTTGTCATTTCAAAAAATGAAATATTGGTACAGTAACCAATTTCACTCAAAGTGGTATTTCTGTATGTTTGAGGTCTGTTGAGACAAAATTGTTTTAATCAGCACCTCTAGTCGCAAAATATGAATTGATGTTGAGGTCATGCATTTTCTGTAAGAGGCTTACTGAKACTTTAGAAAATATGGTGTTTGTGTTGGGCAACACTTTTACACCTTTTTGGTAAACAAAGTTTTGTAGATCCTAATAGACAATGAATTCTTATTGATAAAGCATTATGTTTTTCTCTCTACAGTTTACCTACATTTTGTAATTTCCACAATTTCTGGACAGGAATAGAAAGCTCACAAGGTTTTTGGAGTGTTATTTTTACTAGAAGCACAAGAAGCCCGAGCCATAACTTTGATTAGACTAAATGATTGCACATAAAATRAAACTGTATATTTCTTGACAAAATTTGTCGTACACACGAAGAGGACCACTTACCAGCKGAATTAAGAAGATACAATTTTGTCAAGAAATATGAATATATACGTCGCTATGGCTACTCATGTCACTGAGAACTTTATTTAATTTTTTTTACTTAGAAGCTTTATTTAAATTTTTGATGAAAATATTCAAACTAATAAATATAAGTAGAATGAAATAGAACAAAACACCAACTTGAAGCTATAATAACTCTGTTTATTGGACGTTTCGGCACTTCGGCCTTCTTCAGCAAACTAATAAATATATGTATATATTTGTGTGGACATTTGTATGATCCTTTTCTAAGGGAAAGGTTCTTGAGAAAAGAATGATAAGTTGGGTAAGGGGGCCTGGGATCTATGAAAGGCCTATACAGTTAAATTGACTGCGATAGGTTCCCAAAAGTATCTAAATTTAACAAATTGTGCACAGTTTTGTTTGACGGTAAAAAATGTTCAAAACTCACAAAAAACCTGTGCAATTTGTTTTTGTTTTTTTTTTACCATTCAACAMAGTGTGCATATCGCGAAAAATTTACAAAAATGTGGTGATAAATCAATTTACCCTACGCTTATGAAAAATTACTATATGCATTTACATTACAACTTAACTCTATCAAATGATAAACTATGTAATTTTATTGATCATTTTGGTACTTCAACCAAATATTGTGAATAAACTGAATTGAATTTAACTGGAATTAAAATTGACCTCGCATGTTCCCGTATCACAAAGCAAGATGGCGTGGAGCCGTTATGTTTAATTTTCTCGGTTTTTATAGGTTTACACGACTAGATATACAGCGAAAAGATATTCTAAACCGCCCCTGATTTTGTATATTGCAGATATTTTGAACAGCTGAAAAACACACACAAACGACATAAAATTTTCAGGTTTTAGTAGTTATGACATAACTAGTTGTATTATATRTATTGTCTAGAAGGGATGTCAATTGCCTTTTTATTGCCAGCACGGAATGTCATTTGAATTGAGTTTACATTTATCAGTGTGTTTGTACACTAAAAACAGGCCTTCTCGCTCGTGGAAAAGGACAATTTTTCTGATTTAGTGGATAGATTAATGTATTTGCCTTTTTTTTTGTCCGGTTAAGTTTTTATTCGGCGTAAACAACCTACTTGTTATACATAATGAAACTACCTCTACACATTGACGTTAAAAGTAGTTTATCATGGTGAAATGAAAAGCTAGGGTCCCAGTTTGATGCCCTGGGGTACATCGACAGCTACAGGTCCTTATTCAGTATGAAGACTCAATTGTAACCGTTTACTTCATCCCAAAGAGCAATACCTCGGGGAATAAAATACAGGAATGCTAAAGATACAGTGCACTATGAGTGGTCTATGATCAAGTATTACTTTGTAATACTTGAACTTTCAAACAGTATGGTAAGGCGTTTAAGTATGTAAATATCAAAAAATAAATAGATATTCCTCGATCAGAAACTCCAACTTTTCGAAACGGCTACTATATGCAACTTTTGCAGGCTCTTTTTTTTGCAGACTCTTTTTTTGACACAGACTTTCAAATCTAAGTGCCAGCCTTTAGGCTACCGAGTGAAAATCAGGATTGTACGTTGGATGGAGGGGAGATGGATCACTGAGCCTGAAATAGCTTAGTGAGAGACAACATCAGCTTGAGCTTGTCCTTAGAAGTTAACGTTAACCATGCGTCTTTTTGTGTTGGAATCTGCGTCTTCTGCGCATGCCTAACAATAACTTACGCAAGCAACGTTGACTTTCCGCGTTGCATGAGGGCAAAAAGACAAAGGGCGGACAGCGTTAACTTGTTTTAAAGACAATGTCAAGCTGATGTTGTCTATAAAAAGATGTTGCCTCTCCCTAGGCTATTTTAGCCCCCTTGTCCAAGGTACAATGCTTATTTTCACTTCCTAGGCAAAAGGGACTATTTCTGTCCATCTTATTCCACTACAACATTTATCATCACTTGCTCTTCAAAGGGGACTGTTCCCGGACCCCTTGTCCAACGTGCAATTCTTACTTTCACTTCCTGGGGTGCAGGGACACAGAGTAGCAGAACGGAGACTCAATTGTACATAATATATTCCATTCCCCCAATTGCTCTTTGGGATTTAGTCAAAAAGAAAGCACAGGAAAAAGATGTTAGTACAATAGCGCGCTAACAATTTACATTTCCCCTGAATTGAGGCTAACCCTTCATTCCCAGAAGGATCATACCGTAGGTATGTCTCAATTCGGGAAAAATGCAAATCTTCAAGGCTATTGAAAGAACAACATTTTCTCGTGCTCTCTTTTGTGTTTGGTAAGGTCTTTCCGCAAGAATATCTGTTGTCAGATAAAGCAGCGGCTTTTTGCTATAAATTCGAAAATGGAGGATTAAGATGTATTGAGTCTTCGTACTGCCAATCCAAACAAGGACCCGTCACTTTCGGTGTACCAGGGCATCAAACTGGGACCCAAGCTTTTTATCTGACCATGATGAACGACTTTTAACGTGCATGTGTAAAAGTATTCTMATATTGCATGTCACGCAGTTTGTTTACGCCGACTAAAAACATTGACGAAAATATAATAGACAAATTCAATCTGTCCAATCAACCAGAAAAATTGGCCTTTTCCACGASCGAGAAGGCCAGTTTTAAGTGTACAGTCACACTGCGATAAATGTGAACTCGATTCATTGCGACATTTTCTKGAAGTGAAATTCGCGATTGACTTCCCTTCTAGACAATATATAACATGACTATAACTGCTAAAATCTAAAAATCTTATATCGTCTGAATGGGATACCTGTGTTTTTTGAATGTGTGAAATATCTGCAATACAAAATTAGCCAGTTTAGAATATCTTTTCGCTATGTGTCTACATAATTAAGTGTAAACCTATAAAAACCGAGAAAATTAAACATAACGTCTCCACACCATCTTGCTTTGTGGTACGGGAACATGTGAGGTCAATTTCAATTCCAGTTAAATTCAATTCAGTTTATTCACAATATTTGGTTAAAGTACCAAAAATTGAAATGATCAATAAAATTACATAGTTTATCATTTCAAATTCTTGCGCGCTGATTGGCTGATCAGAGTGTGTCAATTAATATGGGGACTTACACAATCAAAACYGGGTAATTGATACATGACAAATAAAATCTTGTGTGAAATAGAAGCATGAGTYAACCGTAGTTACGATGACGTCACGCAAACTTAAAGGCAGTAGTTGTCTAGCTGTTAGATCTTTTAGAAATGTGAAGGAAAAAGKAAATTTACTCGTGCCGGCGTATCCTGGGAAAAGCGGTTAAGTCTGCGGGCAGCCCGAGTARCAAAAAGAGCTCGCATTTCCGCCCCATGTAAGAGAATCCCGAATCCAGTAAAATACAGGTTTGGAATCCGGAATCCAGCAAAAATTTTGAAATCCAAAAACAAAAATTCTTTGTAATGAGAATACGGAAAACAATGTTTCGGAATCCGGAATCCAGCCCTTGGAATGGATTCTCCTACATGCAGCCTCACGCATTTGATGGGTTGCCTGTGCAATGTGGAATAACATGTGACACCACATCCCGCGCTTTCTCACAACAAACCGTCGGTCAGGATGGAAGAAATTTCCCCAGTATTTATCGCTGACTTGGTTAACAAGAAAAAAACATATTTACAAATAAGTGCTCTTCTTAAAACTATGTTTCCCAGTAAAAAAGGTTTCAGCGAGAGATCGGTCAGGAGGTTTTGTGCTACAAATGGAATATCAAGACAAAGCAAAATTGACAATAATCACCTAGATGCCATTGTACAAAAAGTTGTTGGCAACGTAAGTRCCTAAATATTTAGTTGCAACTTTGAAATGACAGATTAGTTCAGTATGCTATCAAGCATAATCTGCAGAATCGTACTAAATTTGTCTTAAATAACATGCTWAAATAAGCTTAAGAATGACTTTAAACAAACCTAAAGTTTCTGCTTATTACAGTAAGCAATGTTTTGAACTGGAAAAAGTATACAATCAAGTATACCTCACTAAAAGATGAAATCATAGCCCTATAGTATTATTTAAGCTTTAATTTCTTACCCAAGCATCTCTGTAAAAAAGTACTGGTGCTCAAGTGAAGGTCAGTGGAAGAAAATACAAAAATAAATTATATAAAGTGGAACAAAATGAATTRCAGACAAATGGTAGTTGAGTCCATTCAATATACTTGTGAAACATTTTGTAATAAATTGCACAAAATTGCACTCATCTAATAAAATAAAATAATTAATAATACTGATCAAGACAAAGGATTTCACACTAATTTGTCTAATTTAGTTTAGTAATAAACCAATGTGCAATTCTCTTTATTGCCATATTTATTTTTAGTCTTTTTAAAAATAACTGTTAGTTTTATTCAAATATGAAACTGAAAATTAATTAAACTGGCCTCTACAACAGAAGAACACATAAAAAAGTTGAAAAATTACAGGCCTTACAGTAATGTCATGAAGTCAACAAGAATTGTAGAAAAAAAATCTATTACATGGAAGTTATAAGGGAACCTCATTTGCTTGAGATTATGCATCAGAGTTTTAGATTTTGAATCGGGATCATTGCTTAGGAATCAAGATCACAACTGTAGTTATTCAGGGATCGGAATGGATTGTGAATCAAGATTGTGGTTGTATATTCATGAGATCAAGGATCACACTTTTAGCCCTTGGATTGAGGATCACTGCAAAAACTATATTAAGTTACCTTGTTTCTACTCTGTCAGATCAATACTTCTTACTAGTAGTTTATGCAAGTCAGATTTACACAAGAATTTGCATTATCATGTATTGCTTCAAATACCTAATGGAAAGTTGATATTGCATGCATATTTTTCTCGAAGGTTGGTCCAACATGGGGACGGAAAATGACTACTGGATACCTAAGATGTAATGGCATGTATGTTGCGGAACAAAGAGTTGGGCAGTCACTCTCTCGTGTTGCACCGGCTCATTTTGAGAGTAGAAAGAACAGAGCTGAACAGATGAAAAATCCTATTCCCTATTGTGCTGAATATTTTGGGCACAAAATGCATGTTGACCAAAATGAGAAACTGTCAATGTACGGYGTTACACATGTATGCGCTATTGATGGGTACAGCGGAAAAATAATTAGTCACACTTTGATGCCCATCAAAAACAATCTTGCTATTTATGAAGATGTCTTCAGGTTAGTGTTTTCCATCTGCCATCTTGATGTTTCTTTTATTACATTTTTGTTTTTTAACCATAGAAATCCTGTTTTGTCATATGGATTATGGGACCAACTGAGAGTTGATCAGGGCAGAGAGTTTTGCCTCATGTTGTTTGTACAAGATATGCTAAGTAAATACCGAAGAAACACTGACCGTCTTCCTTATATGCAGACCACTTCAAAAGAAGTAAGAAACATGTATCTATAGGCCTTTTGCATGAAAAGGTCACATGGCACAAAATCTACCATATACTGGATGGCAAAAGAATGTAAAACATGCAACCTCAAGAACAAAAGGAATGYAGCCTGTCAAGCTTTCATGACATTCCTTTGTTTTGAACATCCCAGTAGGTATTTGTACCATGTGACCGTTTCATACAAAAGGCTTTAAGCTATTACGGCCCTTAATTGCTTGACCCATGAAGGGTAAATTGCTGCATATTCTGAATACCTAATTAACTATTAGAATTGTAGATTGCTATTTCTTATTAATTTGTACCACCTTAGAATGCAGTCTAGTCTGGCTAATAGATTGGCAAAATGATGACATCACAAAAGGAAAAGTTCTGATTTAATTTTCCAATTTTTYCCCTTATTTTAAAACAATATTTTGTTCGGTATCTTGCATGAGTTTAACAAGCATCTAAAGGGGAATTTCCAGAACTCAATAATAATTCATGAGCTAAGCTGTCCAATGAGCATCACTATTGGGTCACATGAAGGCCCTTTATATCCCGAAAAAGAACTGAAGATGTTTTATTATAATCAGTTCTATATCAGATATAATATATAGAACTAATGTTCTATTTATCAGTTCTATACATTGGATATAAAGAACTGATGTTCAAGGTTTTTGCAACCCAACACCAGCATTAAAGGTCTTGGTTTTAATTTTGCATCATAGAYCTTTGCTAGGTTTTAAATCAGTTTCAATCAATGTGCAGACATGTAGTTTAGCATATATAGACTAGTTGTTCTTCCATGTGGGAACAAAACTCTTTAAATTGTGGCACAATGCACATGCTCATTAGAAGTTTAATATACACCCTTGGGAAACTTTTGTTACTTGATATATACCTGAACTATACTTAATCAGTATT